GAGCTCCCACATCAATGCGGGGGCGTTCGCAGACACCGAGTAGTGAAAGCGGAGAGGATGAGTGGGATGACACTCCACTCTGCAGTCATGGAGCATCTTGGCTGCGTACGAGGGGAGTCATGCAGCAGAGCGGTCGTTCAAACTCTGACAGCAGCGTGAAAATTTCAAAAAAAATAACTGAATGAAACGCGTCGACGCATCACGTCCTCTTCCTGTGCCGGTTTCTCGGGGCCGCTTGGTATCAGCTGTGCAGAGCGATGAACAACGCAGCTCGGCAATGAGTGTCCCCACGAGGAGATGAGTCAGTTTATTTAGGGCGACGAAAGTGGATAATAATCATGTAATGTGTTTTTTTTTTTTCCCTCTTTTTCCTAATTACTCAGTTTGAGTGCTGCCTGCTCTGGCATCTGACGCTTCGACAATAAATGTGTATTTTTGTTCAGAAGCTGAAATCTACCATTAAACTGTCTCTGCTGCCGCTTTTCTTAAGTGACGCACCGACCTGCCAAAGCGTTACAGCTAAAATTACAAGCTTTTAAAAAGAGCGCACATCTGTGTGTAATCGCTTCCTTTGCAGTTTGCCTCATTCACATAATTGTGATACTGATAACTGGAGCTGAAACACAAAGGGTTGGGCCCGAATATGAATTGAATTGTCAGACAACTGGGAAGCTGTTACGAAACATGCACTTAGACGGAGCTGTTTGAATTTTTAAAATGGCTATTCATGGGAGAAGTCTGGAAAGTGCGCAGCTTCCATCTCTGCATCATCAAAAATCCACGTTTAAACCGGCCTCGTCTCTACAATACAAAAGAAACAGGAGCTCAAAACCCAGGAAATTAATCCCAAATAATGTCCGCAAACATTCAGCTGCTTCATGGAAACAGAAAGAGAATTTAAATGCTTTTGTAATTGTGTAACAGCAGCGGATGCATCTGCACATTTGAACTGGCGCGATATCAAGCTTTCACCTCGGATTTATGATGAACTGCAACCTGCGTCTGCCTCCTACACATTTCTGCACCAAACATTACAACAATGGCCAAGATAAGCCCATAAGAAGCAGAATCTATTAGAATAATCTGCATCTGACTCATTAAAACCTAAACAACACCTAATCCTAAACTCCATGGATCCTTAGGTTCACGTCCTCGTGCCTTAAAGACGGTATAATTTGATCATTTGCTCATGAATACGAGGGAGATGAGTCTAGTTGCATCGAAAAGCAACAACCGCCGCCTTTCTGAAAAGCTTGATTTTACGTCCACTCATTCACATGACAGCACAAGGTCGTCTACGTACGTATCCATTATCAGAACCACAACTTCCACTGTTGTGGTTTCTGTTGAGGATTCAATATCACACCTGGAGGCTCACATACCTCTACACACAAAAAGAGATGCTTCACGTGCCTCCACAGCTATGTTCACTATGTGCACTCATGCTGAACGGAAAACTGAACTGCAACACACCTACAAACTCAGTCACGTACTACAGACTCTAAAGATCAGACTACGCAAAACTGAGCATCAGAATTTTACGTTAACACCTGATAAGCTGTGAACACAGGCCACATGTCTTTGAAATATCACAAAAAAAGAAAACATGAATTAGGCTTGTTCCTATTAATTGCTTTGGGGCGAATACTGCATAGTGTTGACAGAAGGTGGCGCTACAGGCTACATAGCTCTTCTAAACAGAGCAGAAGAAAATGGAAACAAAACCAGTTGTTTGCAAACTGCTAAAAAAAAACAAACAAAAACAAAAAACAAAACTCGAAAAAGAGGGAAAATTGCCCATCTGCATGACAAAAGTAGAGAGAAATCTTCAGGAAAGTTATTTCACGTCAGGTGGTATCGGCCATGTTTCATGATTTCCATCGACAGAAGCACAAACAGCTGGTCGCCCATATGTGTTAAATGTTCACTATTTTAAAATTTATCCGGAAAAGAAGTTTCTATCTGCCATGAAGCACATTAATCTCTTCATAAAAAGCATAAAACCTTGCAAAACTACCTTTTTCTAATGCAATATATTGCACAATCACGTCAGCGTGACTTTGAACTGAAGGTTCAACTTTCAGGCCGACTTTCCTTCCAGGAGCTGCAGTGGTAAAATCCACTCCGACTGGCTGTGATCAGTGACGCTAATATTCAAGCTAATTTATCAACCGATAATATTTTTTCCTCCATCCCAGCTCCTCCTCTCCTCACTTCACCCCGTCACATGCAGCTCCACATCCTCCGCTCATGTGCTAATGCAATTAGCCGCTGTTCATCCTAATGCTCTGATTAATTACTGTTTCAGGGAGTACAGTCTGAGGTGGCTGCAGGAATTTACTTGGAGAATTCAAGCGGTTTACAGTCCGGCCTCTGCTATGTCCCCCCTCCACCACTCCCAAACAAAACCCAATTAAACGAACAATTACAAGTTGGACGATTTTACAAATCTGCCTTCAGTCCTCATCAATTATGAAGTGTGAGGTAAAGCCCTGGGTGAGTGATTATCCCTGACAAACACACACACACTTCCTTATCTGAGGCTCTGTGGTCATCGCTATGGTCGCAGCAACACACACACACACACACACACGGCAGCTGAGGAAATACACTTCAGCCACACAACCAAACGCACAATCCCTGTTATCTGCTAATTAATAAGCTGGCAGGCTCAGGAATTTTCTCACATTTTGCCAGAACAATGGTGCTCAATGTTTCCTCTGGCCTCTTCTGGAGCAAAAAAACAAAAAACAAAAACAGACCGACCCTTTAGCAAACCACCTCCACAGCCTCTCATTAGGAAGTACCAGGCTGAAGGAGGCTGTTTACTTTATAACACATCACTGAAAGGCCTAATGAGAAAAATTGGGAAATTATCTCCTATCAGCCCACCCTACCTGCCTCTCTATTTATACCCATCCAATATTCTCCCGTCTAATCGGATTCTGTTCACATGTCTCCATTATTGTTATTACTCTGGTGTTTTCAACTCGGAAACAATGTGATGAAAGACACGTGCATGCGCGTTTTTGTCGTGACTGATGGGACACATTGTCATCTTCAGATTAACAGGTGGAGCCTCTATGCACATGACATACAGACCTACAGATGGGCACTATATCAGAAACCTGAAATTACTCCCGAATCCTCCCAAACCTACATTCTTCACTCCCTTTGCAGGTAATTTGCATTTTGCCAGGTAATTTACTGAAGCCGCGAGGCTCAACACAAGTAATGGAATATGCTAAAGCATGCACGAAGCAATAAACCTCGTCGTCCCCTGCTTCGGTCTGCACGGACCACAGCTGCTCTGAGCGCCGCTGATATGTGGAGACGGCATCAATCCATTCTGCTCAGCCTAGTCTGTCATTTCACTGGAGGCGGAGGGAGGTTCTGCTGAGTTTAAGGGCTGCTGAGTCATGGTTAGGCTGCCAGAAAAAGAAAATCGAAAAAGGAACACACACAAAAAAAAAAAGCACACAAAAAAATAACAGGCAATCCCAACGTGCATGCAGACAAAAGACTACAGAAGCACAAAAAGACAGAAAACATGAACGGCACAAAGCAACCAGGCTGATGGAAGTGTGGATGTATAGATGGATGATGGGACATCCTGCCAAGGAGTTTGCACACAGAGTCCACATTATTGGCTCCAAGTCGTTCATACACATGCATTTATTCTTTGCAAAAGCAAAAACGCGCACCGCATGACTACAGACTGTACTGCATCATACAGGTAAAGTTAATTAATGAGTATAGACTTCTGGAGTAGAATTTTACTTAAATGCCGATATGTTTAAAATAAATTGCCTTCTTGGAGAGCAAAGGCCTCCTCTCCTCATACTTGAAAGTGGTTTTTAATGGTTGAGTGTTTAATCACAGGTTTGCATGTTCAACCGCTCAGCCCTAAAATGGCATGACCTGAAAGTGATTGGAACAGGATACCTGAACAAATTAAAACCGAACAGTGGAAGTAATGAGCTTTTTCACTGTTCGAAATTACAGCGGCTACACAAGCTCCACCGAGTGTTTACTCAAAGAGACACAGGGAGGGGGGAAAAAAATGAAATGATGAAGCTCCAAAAAAAGGTCTCCCAATGAATAATGAATGCAGCTTTTATATCCTCCTCACTCGCCTCAGATATCCCCGCTTCACCCCTCCTCATCCCTCCTTCTTCTACTGTTTCAGTCCACGCCTGCTATCTCAAGTCGCATCAGGGTAAAAGGAACGAAGACGCTGCAGTGATCCGGGACAAATTCATCACACTCCTCGGCCATGTGACTGGCTCTGAAACTACGACACAACTTCATGCCGAGGTTCCTAACGGTACATCTGCTAGTTCCCGCCAAGTTGTTGCTAAAACTATGATGAGCAGAACCAGAGCTGATCCGACCAGAACCAGACGACACACCAAGAGAGAGCCGAGCGAGCTGGAAAAATTGTTTCTCACATCTTGCTGGAAGCGGCATTCAAACGAGAAGATTTTTCATTACTGCAGTAAATATACTGAGGGCTTATAATGAATAGGGTGCAAATCCACCTCACCATGTGTGCTCTTGTGAATATCAAAACGCAGACAAATTTGTGAATTTATTATTTGCTCGAAGTGGTGCAATGAAAAATACACAACTGGAGAGCCTTTATCTCCCCTCAATGTGACGGAAACAAGGGATTAACCAAATGGGCATGCTGCGACAATCAAGCAGAATTAATTCCACTCAAATCAGAATGTGTTTTGCTATATGAATCGAGGGCGATAATGCATCAAATCAGCTCTGAAGTGCAGTAAGAGGCAGAATAATGCTCAGTTTTTTTACACAGCACTGAATTACTCGGTAAAATGGCTCAGTTTTTGTGTGTGTTTTATGAGCGTGTGCGTCCGGTTTCAGGCTTGTCATCAGCTGCTTCTGCTCTGCAGCTCGAGCCATCCCATCCACCATCTGCTTGTGCAACCCCCCTCCACCCCAGCAGGGGCGCTACTGCCACTACAAGGACTCACCAAGATCCTTAGAGCCTTGACTTTCGCTGGCCATCTCGCCCATCCGCACCAGAGCGTCGAAGTAGCCCTTTGCAGCATATGTGACACCTGGAAACATGGAAGCATTGGGCATCAGATCAAGGGTGCGGAGTTGAAACGATGTCTTCTTCAGCTCTGCAACCCTCCCCTGCAACCCTCCCCTTCCCCCAGAGAGGTAAGGTTGGGCATGGGAAATAAAGAGCGACAGGCGGAAATGGAGACCAGGCAGGAAAAGAAAAAGCTCTATGGAAGGCAACTATAGGCAACAGAGAGGAAGCTGTAGAGGCTAACCCTGCCCGCGGCACAAACTACTTTTTAAAGGACTAGTTTACCCAAATTACTGAAAAATGGCCTTTAACTTGGTACCTCGTCATGCAAACAGTATTCAGGTCTAATCAGTCTCTCACAGGATTGGGTTTTGTTGGTCGATGATGGGCAAATTACGTGGAAATACTACGCTTTTATCAAACAAGGTGCAATATACAAGATGTTCACGTAGCAGGTTTTCCAAATTTAGCTGACCACCGATGTCGCCTGTTTAAATTACTTCAATTAATAAGCTGCTGAGGCAAATTAATGTTGAACCAGTGAGTAACTTGCCCAAAGGCCAGTGTCTAGTTAATGTGCTACTGTTAGCTTGTGTATGCACCCCACCTAAAACCTGCTATTAGAAGAAGAGTAGGGTTGTAGTGTCCAACCATTTGGGTGGAGAGAGGTTTTTTTTCCCTACAAAATGTTCCCTGGGGAACCCATAAAGTATTTGTGATTCCAGGATTAATCTGCAATCTTTGGTAGAGAAAGAGACTGTTTTTACAACTTTAAACTGGTCAAACCTAATAATGACGACTGCTGCATCTAACTTATTTAACATAATTGAACAATTACTCGTAGTTGGTTTCAAACTGACCAACACCATGTTGAAGAAGGCGTTGGTGTGGCTGCAGTTTGTTCAAACTGATGGACATAAATAAAATGTGAACTTTACAAACAGCAGTTTGTGTGGCAGAGCTCAGAAACCGGCAGATCTTCTAAAAATAGCAGCTAACTTGTCTGTTTTTATATGCTGCAAATACTAGCTTTTAGTGTTGATTTAGACTTCATTTAGGCTAGAGACTAGCCTAAATGAGAACTATACTAAATATACTTATAAATAAGACGAGCAGGTAGAGAGCACTCCAGGGTCTAGCCGATTTATAATCTTAGCAATACTTGCAGATTTCCATTTTTCCTCCCACAACTGATCGATTGGTTGGAAAACAAATATGATTTTAGTTAATCCATATTTTCTTTGGTTGACTAGAGTTTTGAATTATCACGGTGCAAGCAGCCATTCAGCAGGAAATAATGCAACAGCTGCATGCAATTTCAAGTTGACAACATTGTGCTGTTGTCTGTCTGAACTTGGTCTAACATCCCATGACAGTCACAAGTACAACGACAGTAAATCTCTCAGTTTATTTTTAAGGTGCATTCTATCAATATTTTAAGTTGATCAGCTTAATGGTTCTGAATCAGGACAGTCGGCATTTAGGAGAAAGCTAAAAGCTAAACACTGTAGTTGTGATAAAAGCTCTACAAATTATTACTGGAGGTGGACTGAGTTTGATGTGTGCCACCTTAAGAATTCAAAAAACTACATTTCCATCTATTTGCATGGCTGGATACAACAGTGGGTCTTTGTAATTTGGATAAACTAAATCTCCAAAATCCTCAACAGCTCCTCACGTCTTAGCAGCACCATAAATGATAATATGCTGACAAAACTTTCCACTGCAAATGATGTGAAAGCACTCAACAATTCAAATAGTCAGCCATTATTCTCTGCAGTGCATTGTCACACAAGCCGGGCACACTGGCTGAGACAGAAACGGTGACTCAGGCCTTAAAAAACGGCGACAGGATGGCCTCAAGCAGCAGCAACGGTGAATTAAAGCAGGTCAGGGGTTAGCTACACAGCGACTGACAGCCATGATGACAGAGGACACATGTCCAGTCCAGAGATACATATGGATGAGGGCTGAGTTTATTACAGGGCTGTCATGTTGATGGGTGTTTGTGCTTTGAACTGCCAGAGAACGCCCATGCAGGATCCCAGAGAGAGGGCTAAAATGGCAAAGTATTCATATCGCCGCGTGGAAAACAATGGAAATCTATTCTGAGTTCAAGTTCACATCACATCAAGTTCACAGCTGTCTTGGCGAAGTCCGCAGAGACACCGAGCGAAGCCCGCCGCTATGCAAGTTATTGTTCTGGAAATGAAAACTGCGCCGGGCTTCTCAGTCGGTAAACACACTGAACAATTTCATTTCTTCAATAAAACTCTTTTGAGATGACTCCTGAAATAACTCGGCCTGCTTTCACTTTGTTATCAAAACCACGAGCCGAGATAAAAGCCGGTAAATCTTTACACGGCGCTGCCACCCTTCTCGGTAAGCTATGACAGAGACAAGGCGAGACCCTTTTTCCGGCTTTCCCGAAGCCTGGCTCGAGTTAAGCCTAGGTGGGATATGAGAGTGTGAGAGAGAGCGAGGCGGGTGATAAAGGCGAGGCTAAGACGGCTGGGTGAGCAAGGCTAATTTAATCGATGTCCGGAGAAATCTCAGCCGGGAAGAGACGGGCCCAGGTGAGGCGGGATTAGCCTGAGGAGACGCTTTACTTGTCTGTCAGCTGGAAAGTGACGGAAAGAAGAAGAAGAAAGAGAGGAAGGAGGAGGAGGAGGAGAAGGAGGAGGGTCTGCCTGTAAAGAGGATTAGAACAGTGATATAAAGCCAGAGAGTGTCAGTGTCAATGAAACATAAACAAGAAAGAGGTCTAAATCAGTGGAGATTGGTGATAAGCAGCCCATCTCTATGTCTGCGCCGTAAATCAAGCTTTCCACAAACTCAATCAAATCCCTTCTCAGCGAGCATATGGCATCTGATGATGTTTAGCTCAAAACACATGTAAACAGCCTGGTTGCAAATGGGCTACATTTGGAAACAAAAACAAAAGTCAGGTTTTGGACACCGCTTCAATTATTTTAGTGCAGCATATTGAGGAGCTGCACCGAGCTGAAATGCTTTCTTAACTCGATCATTTTAAACACAAATTAATTCATAGTAAGTGTGCTGATCAAAAAGTTCCAGGACTGTTTGTGGCGACTCGTGAGAACTTTCCCAAGTCGGGATGTCTTTTTAGTGATCACTGGTAGGCAAACATTGGGAATTTTGACAGCCTTTAGGCATTTCAGCACTCGTCATAGATGGCGCTTGACATATTTATATAACAGGACATCCAGCAAGTGTTGCAGGAGCACTTGGAGCGATGTGCACAACCAGACTACTTCCACGGGTATGGTGGCCAAATTTGAATCCGGTATAGTTTCATTTTTTTAAAGATACGGTCACATTGTTGATGCAAAGTTCTGCTGTAATGTCCTGAGGTGCAAAGCTACGTGGGTTTTTGGCCACAACACTCCCTGTGACTTCTTTTTTTTTTTCCACAAAATGAAATTCAAGTTCAGGGATTGCAGTTTTGACACAGTTCAGGAGAGTCAGCGTTCAATCACAGATTATGCTTGGCCTGTTTTTATAAAAAGGACTTCCGGTGAGCGCTACAGGTGCTGCAGGAGCACTGGGAGCTCCACAATTAGCGTATGGTGCCCAAAGTACAGCTTTTTAAAAAAATTTTGCAGCCCCAGTTTCTGAACTTTTTGATCAGCCCTCTTAAATGAAACAGTTAAATCATCTATCAAGCCACTTTGAGGAAACGAGGATTTGCAGCTCTTCTCAGTTTAATGCCATACTTATCTAATATCGATGTGTTTCTGTTTCACACTGTTAAACAAAACCAACAATTTACAACGAGACTATAACGGTTTAGATTCTTTTTAAACAACATAAAGCCTAAATCCGTCTGAGCCAAATGTAGTCCAGTTTTAACCCAGACTCGGTGTCTTCTGATCTTTCCTTTTACACATGTAGTCTCTAACAAGTGTGGTGCTTTTTTGTCCCCCAGATTCACAGCTTCCCTTGATGTCTGCTACAGCGCTGCACCAAGCTGCAACACAGATTTTACTAAACACAGAATCTGGCTCGGCACCACATCCCAAACCACACTGCCCTCGCAGAGCCCAAATGCTTTTACACCCAAACAAAACAAGTCAGCCTCCTTCCTGCATCATGCCGATCTTCACGGCCTCCAGGGATGCGAAGCTGCCGCCCCAGATCTACTTAAAAACCCAGTGGCTGCACTGGCATTTTTCCAGTGACAATAGATGCTTGCTGGGTGCCCAGCCCCACTCTGCACCGCTCTACTCTGAACTCTGCCTCGGTGCCGCTGCCTGGCATTGATGAAGTGTAATCCCCACTCGGGGAGTCGCAGGGCTATTTTTAGCCTTATCTATCAGACTGAAGTGAGGCCTCCTTTATTGGTCCTGTGGTCTGCCGAGTCTTCCCTCACAAAGGAGAGCCCTGCTCAACACCGTGCACACAGAATACCAAACCACGGCTGCACCATCTCTGAAAATATCATACGACCCCGATAACCTCCTCCTCCCACCTCAGAGTGGCATCTGAGAGCAGAGGGGAAAGGTGTTCTTATCAATAAATGAGTCCAACGTGCCTGGAGGTGGGTGTTATCTAAAAGGCATGCACACGAGTGTTTCCGGCCTGATTTGGAGGCATGAAAAATCACCATTGGCTCTAATCATGTCAGCTGCGTGACGTTCTTTAGGACGACAACGGCTTTGTGAGGGTTTCTGATTTCTGTCACATATTTCTTCCAAAATCTATTTCTATTCATGAATATTTCCCTCTTAATCCTTTCCTCTACCTTCTCCTGTTTTTTTTAAATTTTCCACCATGTCTTGTCCTGGATACCGGCTCGGCCCGCTCTGGTTTTCGGAGCCCCATGAGGGGCGCCGTTATTCTCGCACCTCCTCTTGTTCCACTTCCCATTGGCTCATGCTCCACTTAGCTCCCCCCAAGACATTTCCACTGCTTTGTCTTTAACCTTGAGCCACTGCTGCATGTACACCTCAGTCTCTCCGTCTTTCTCTCTCTCTCTCTCTCTCTCGCTTTCACGCAAACACATGACGGTGCAAACACACCTGTGCAAGCCACACAAAAGCAATGACAAACAACAAACGTACGGTTGAGGCGGACATTTAGGATCAATGGACTGGTGCTGGAGGGCAGGGACGAGGACGTGTAGACATCATGACAGAGGGACAATCAGAGGACGTCAGATCTTCCTTAAGTAGGTTAAATATATCTCTTCAGCAGGACTTTACTGCTGCAACTTTTTCTTATAGAGCAACTAGCCTCTGTAGCTCAAAGCCAGAGTTTGAGGACGCTCTGGCTCGATACCAACAACACTATCAACTACTGAATATCTGTGTCGTCATCATGCCTTATCCCTACTCAAGATAAATCAAGAGGATACAAAAGCAGCGCCAAGTGTCGGGTCAGTTGGCCCTCTGCCTGGACGGTTGGGCGGACAGGAGGAATGAAAGAAGGACGAAGACAGAAAGTAAACAAGAATCGGTCGGTGTACTCACTGGTGAGCGCCTTCTCGTAGCTCTTCCCCATGGCTATGAAGTTCCGTAAGCAGGGGTTGAACTGCTCCATGATGGACTGGGAAAGGGGAAGAAAAAAAAAGGGCGCGTTTGGTTAGTCAAGAAGCAGGGAAGATGCAAACACCAACATGAGCTACAGCGACAGAGCACCGGGCTTTACTGGGGCATGAACACACACACACGGCGGAGTCAGCCGAGCCAACCACCAGGAAGAGCAGAGCGGCGAGGACTCATTTCCAGCCTCACGACGGAGGACTACAGGGATGAAATAGAGGGAAAATGAGTAAAGAAGAGAGAGAGGACGAGTCACTGGGGGGGCTCATGTGTATATGTTGGTGTGAGTGTCACCTCCCCTGCTGCATTTATTAAAATAAAACCTGCTCTTGGCTGCAGACTCTCTCAGCTCAGCAGCAGATCTGGCCCCTTCACCGTTTCCCAACACTCTCTGAACTCTGGCACACTGCTCCTGCTAATTACTTTTTATAAAAAGGGTCATTTCACTCAAAATTATAAATAAAATATTTTCTCACCCTCTGCTGGTCATCAAATCTCAGAGACAGATATCTGACATTCTGACAAAACTGAGAATATCTGTGTGATGAGCTACATCTCAGGATAAGAGTATTTTTTATAACGGACCCATGTAAAGTTAATTACATGAAACAAGGTGACACCGTGTTCAGTTTGCAGGCAACAACACAGTTTTCATTATTTATCATAATTTGCCATTTCTAACAAGGTCAAGCACGAGTGAGAAAAAGCAAAAACACAATGAAAACAGGTTCTCTTGGTAATAGAATACAAAATAAATAGATCAATAAAAACTAGTAAAACGACATTTCAACACAAAATAAAACAGAATACGACACAAAGACAGGCAAAACCAGACAGCAACTTGTAGGATCATTTTCTAAAAAATAAATATGAATTAAATATAAACAATTAAGGCTGTTAAGAGCAGCCAAAAACATTTGAAAACGTACTTCTTGAGGATTTTCTAGTATATTCCTATACCTTCATTTAAAGTTAAAGCTCGTTTTCAAGTCCAATATTTGCTCATTTATGGCTAGAATTGAAACGATTATGAGTAATCAGTTAAAAAGTTAAATTCATCCGACTCCAGTTTATTAAATTTGAATACTTTATGGTTACTTAAACTTAATATCTTTTAGTTGTGGACAAAATATTTGTAATCTCAGGCTTTGGAGACACTGATCCACATTTTTCGGCATTTTGTAAATCAAACAACTATTTGATTATTCAAGAAAAATGTAGATTAATCGACTTAATCTTTAGCTGTTTAGCTGATAAATGCTCCGCGCTCAGTACTAATCATGTAGGGTATAGAGAGTTTATCTTAAGCTTCTGCTAGAAATGAGGCCCATTATTCTGCTAACAATAAACCAAAACAATACAATTTCTGCGAGGCAGGTGATAATTTTGCGACACCTGTCTCGCATTGTAATTTTCTGCAATAATAATATAAAAATACTGATTAGCTAAGCTGTAATGTTCAGACTAAACACCTAAAACTTTGCTGATATCATTTCCTTGTGCAGCCTTACACCTTTAATCAGTAAACCATTAATAAAGGACATTCTGACTTGTCATCAAATTCTTCTGCTGCAAGCATTTTACTTATTTTGACTTTAATAAATCAGCCATCAAGAACAGCAAAGACAGATCAGAGGATTGTAGTCATTGCAAAAACGACAGCTCAGAACGTGTAGCATCGCTTCTTGGAGAAAGAAAAACAGCCAGAGCCTAATTATTAAAGAAATGTGATGGTTAAAAAGTTACTTTAAACTGTCATACAAGAAAAGAGACACATTAAAAGCAATATATGAAACTAAATCTCTCTTTCTTTGGACAGATGGCCGAGTGTCGGTCAGCACACAGTGGAGTTGATCCACGATGAGAACAAACAACAAGCAGGGGCGCGAGCCCTTGTTAAGAACAAAAGGAAAAAGTCAAGAAGAAATGTGTAATGAGTTTTACTGTCTGTCTGTCTGTGCAGTGACTCAGCCTCCCACTCAGTCCAAGCTGCCCTTTCACTTCTGCTGGCAAAACCCTGCAATTTAAAAACCAGAAATTTTCTCTCTCTACGACTTTCTTCCTGAACTTGCAGGACTGTTAGAGAAGCAGAGAGAAGGTGAAGGGAGAGAGGGATGAGCAGGAAACAGCACAAAGAAATCTTAATAATCAAGACCTCATGACTGCAAGCAGCATTTAAAAAACAGCCAAAACTGCAGAATTAATCAGCTGATCCACTCTAAACTCAGTGAGAGTCCAAAAGGGTAGCAGGCCTTCGTCATTTATTAGCTTTGCTCCACCTTTCTGAAAACAAACAGCAAGAACTTTAAAAGAAAAGCTTATTCCAGCATTTTCTTCCCTGTTCAGTGAAGTTTTTTAAGCAATTATTGCCCAGGTTGAGTGCATGGCACAGCACCATGACTATACAAAGAACGATGGGGGAGCTTTAGTCACTGCTCGCTGGTTGTTCACCAACGTACTCTGCGTGTAGTCACTAAACTGATGAGTCAAAACACTCACAGATGAAGTGAAAACGATTATATTGTAATTTCGTTGCTGATTAATCTGTTTGTTGTTTTCTCAAGTGAGCAATCAAGTTGTTTGGCCTATAAAATGTCAGAAAAATGGTGAAAAATGTTAATTTTTCCAAAAAGCTCAAGATGACAAATGTCTCGATTTGTCCACAATCCAAAATTATTCCGTTTACTGTCAAAGAGGAGGGAAAAATAAAACATATTCACATTTAAGAAGCTGTAATGAGAAAATGTTGATCTTTTTTGTCTTAAAAAGTGAAATTAATTGACTGTCCACTTGCCTTCTAACTACAGCTGCAATAATTAATCCTACTCTGAAGTCAACATGTTAGTTTGAGAAGTAAGAGACCTGAACTTTTCATAGATACTCTTCTACCACTTTGATGGAAAACGTCATGAAATCAAGCAAAAGAACCCGACTGCACTTCCACTGAGGCTATATATTCATGCTACGACGCGTGTTTTTGGCATCATCTTGTGTCTTTTTTATTACTTTTTTAAAAAGATGCTCCACTGCATCCTATGCTAAAGGAGATTTTTTAAAAAGTTTTGACACTTTTGGGTTATTTTGCTATGGTTATTCAGTTGCAACCCTGAGCTAACTGTCAAGGGCCAAAGCATGATGCCAAGATTGCAGTCCACGGAGGGTCCAACTGTGAACCAGTGGGTGGATGTTTCATATTGTGCTGAAGCAAGTCTGAATCCAATGCAATCCAATTTGTAGTTTACAAGGATCCTCAGCAAGTTTCTTGGTGCCGATACAACAAAGAACCTTCAGAGGTCTTTGTTGGTGCCGTTTCAGTTGCACTCTAAAGACCAGCAGTACATTACGAAGACCTGCTGATGGATTTTTCAGTGGCAGGCCCTTATTCGGTACAAGTTCAGTTTAAAAGGCAGCGAGGAAATTTGTTAGAGCCGGAGTGCAGAAGGAAAAGGGGAACGGAGAGGACGGAACAATGAGCATAAGGCAGGAGGAGAGCAGGGCACATCTGAGGTTGACAGACATCTTTTCATGGCTGCTCGCTACATGGGATGCCTGCTAATGCCCGCCGGGTGACGCACAACAGTCACCTTGGTGCACAAACTTCACCACGACTTCAAAAACAAAAAAAAAATTGGGAGGCAGGAAGTAGGACAGGACGACACGGGGGTGCATGAAAAAACAGGCCGAGTGCCCGGCAAATGAAGAGAGCTTCAAGGTGCACAAAGAAGGTGAAATTAGGAAGCGGAGAGAAGTGAAATGGACGGATAATAAAACAGCTATTTTGAGCAATGCAAGGCTGGAGTTGATTTAATGTCTGGATGGGAAACTAGTTCCGATAAAAGCACCCCGCTGTGAATTCTGGGAAAGATTTTTCTAAACATTCCTGCACTGCCATAAAATGATGTCATAATAGCACACAAAAAAACAGGTTAGTGGTGTTTCTCTGTGCATTTGTGGGGACAAACAAACCTATTTATACCCCGATTCCCCCCGTCGCCCGTCTCTCCCATCTCTGGGCGTATCTTCCGTTATGTAAGGCGTCGGCTGCTGAACAAACCGAGCCCGTGGAAGCGCTCCAGCAGCGGTAATCATCACGGTGGATGTACCGCCGCTTGGCAGGAACAAAAGGAGCGATCAACAAAGGAATATAAATAGAAGATGGAGAGCGGCCCAGTTCTCATGTCTGAATAAACACATGTACAGAAGGAGGACTTGGTAATGGCTGCGACTAGGTGTGTGCACATGCTTGTGTGTGTTTTCGTGCCCGTGAGTGATGAGCCGCGTTATGTAATCGCTGTCAGACAGGTCTGGCTTCATGCGTCGCATTCTTGGTGTGGTGGCGCTCGTTAAAATGCTTTCAGGGTTTCACATACGTGCACACATGTTGTCACCGATACACAAGTCAAAAGGATGTGAACGCGACAAGATAAAATATGGATTTTGCATGAGAACACTTTTTCTATTCAGCCCATTAGTGTAACCATGATTATGGAAAATGAAGCTTCTCTGCATCCACTTGTTACCTGATTTTCATTTACCTAGCAGGCTTAATGTGTATTAATGGAATAGTTTAACATACACTTTCACATTTTTGCATAGAGTCAGTGGAAGTTGATGCCGTTCTTGTGTCTGTACATGATTCATTTGAAGCAGCAGTGACAGTAATTATACCAACACTATGTTTATGATGCATGCCTCGCAGTATATCGCTTTCTTTTTTTTTTTAAAAGCGTAATCCTTCAATCTGCATTATGTGAGCTCATTTAGCTTATGAATGTAACAGGGATTCATTCATATGGAAATGTTTTGCCCTCCAGCTTTAGCTAAGCTGAGAATAAATTCAAAAGAATTAGGCAAACGACTATAAAGTACAACAAAATAGTAAAAATGTGTGTTTTTGTGGCTGTTTTGATTCATGGGAGCCGAACATAAGTTTTCTTATCACAAGCTGCACCGAGATCAAAGTGGCTGTGGCTGTTAACTTCTTAACACCTAAACGTGAATATT